AGTTAGCAATTCAAATCGGACCATATACAGGTGGGATCTTACCAAAGCGGAGGAGACCAGGAACCATCAGCTTAGCACCATAGCACACAGCATTCACAGCGCTGTCTTTGACAACGATACGCTTGTACGTGGTGAGGAGAGTCTCCAGAGGCTTGATGACCTTCCTCAAATAAGACTCGTCCCGCTGGTTGTCGTACATCCATTGGGCATCCAAAACATCATGCAGAGTCACCATTCCACTGTTCTCATCCATGGCACCACTGCGAACACGGCGGAGTTCCTGCATGTGCGCACCAACACCGAGCAGAAGACCCAAGTGGACACAGAGGGTTCTGATGTAGGTTCCGGCTTCACAGCTGACCCAGAAGACACCAAGGTGCCTCTCGTTGTCGAACTCGTAAAGCTTGCTTTCGTGAATTGTCCGGATACGAAGCTGACGCTTAACAGCAGAGATCAATGGCGGCCTCTGGAAAAGAGCTCCAGTCAATGTCTCGAGAGCCCGCTTGAACTGGGCCTCGCCACCAGGGATCTTATCATGAAGGCGGATAACGCAAACGTATTCTTTTCCGGCACCCTGTTGGGATTTCACCAGGCGAGTGGCACGGTCAATGCAGACAATCAAGCAACCGGTGACCTTGGGGTCGAGGGTTCCGCTGTGACCAGTCTTCTCCGCCCTTTACAGAACTAGTCTCAGTATCGTCAAGACGAGAGGAGAGCAAAATAGAAAATTTACCTCAGGATTCTCTTCATCCAAGCAACAACCTCATGACTGGAGGGGTTTGAAGGCTTGTCGAGGTTGATGACACCGGAGTTGATGTACGACTTCAGGTCGCGCTTCAAAGGAGTGCTACCAGCGGGGATAGGCGTGAAGTGGCCGGTCCTGACAAGCACTGATATTATGGATCAGTACCAGCTACATTGATATGAGATATGGCCTTGGAGTGAACATACGCTTGTCATAATTCTTCAGAAGAAGCGGCCACTCCGACGTGTCGATTTTCGAGGAACTAGCCTCAGGCTTGATTGCGTAGTCCATCTCCTCCTTAGCCACTGCGACCGCCATTTTGAAAAGGCTGGCTTGAAGGGTGCAGAGATAACTGGGTTGTTGCGCGCGTTGAGGGAAGGCGCAGGAAAAATTGCACTCTCCGGACTAAGTTTTGTTCTCGCGCTAGCGAGGAAGAAGTCTGGGAAATTTTGCAAGTGCGGCGAAAGCTCCTGCGACTAATCAGGTTAGAGCAGAAATTTTACCCGCCGACCCAGCATCCCGTGACTTGTCTTTTGCACGTTGCAAATTCGGTATCCGTACGTCTCGTTACGTTTTTAAAACATGTTACTTTGAAGGACTGTATCGAAAGTTGACAATTTTCATTACTTGGCGGTATATAAGAGGTATCGGTCTACCTGTGTCGTGTTTACTTGAGTATCTGCTACCTCTCTTTTATTTATGATTCTGAGCATCGAAATGACTTCAAGGACCTGCAAGAAGTTGACAGTCGTACTTCTTGAGCCCTTGGCTTCAGCACCAAGTTAAATACAATTGTAGTAAACATTGCCCGCTTGACCAGACTTCCCTACTCTGGACTGGAGCGACTCAATAACCTGGTAGGAACGACGTGCCTACTCAGTCACCACCAAGTCTTCTTCCTGGCCCTCTTCTGCTCCAAGGGCTCTGAAAGGATGAAGTCCAGCTTCCCGAAGAACCCTGGGTTTGGTCCGTCGCACGGTAGGCGGTCCCAAAGGCGCGAGCTTCGCCCCGCGGCTTGCTAGCAGCAAAGAACCGCCTCACAAAGGCTGGAGTGACGAGGTAGTTCTTACCACCTCCGAAAGTTGGATATATACGGGTAAGGAAATCGTAGAAGTGGGCAGCAACTATGCCCATGCCGTCCCTCAACGCCGCAGGCCATCCGGAAACGACGAGTGTTAATGTGAGCATTGCCCAAGGTAAGAACTCGACGGGTATTTGGACGATGAAAAAGCTCGCCTTTTTTCCTCGATTGTCTTGGGAATACGTGTAAACGAATGCCAGGATCAACGCTGAGTTGAGAAAACATCAGTATGGGCAAGCATATTTGGTACCACGGTTAGCTCACCGGAGGTAAAAATTACATTGTTCAAAAGACAACCTGCCGTGAGCTTTGGGTTGTCAGTACTGGCAAGTTCAAGGAGGCTACATTGGAAGGGAGGAAGGGTCTATAAAAATAAATGAAAAGGCAATAGGATATATAGTTATAGAGATGTAGGGCACCATAACCACCAGTGTGAACCGATTCATCACACTAGCTATCTCACTGGTCGTCCCACCATGCCTACAACGCATATAGCCCCGGTAAAATCAGTTGTGGAGCTATACGGGATGCAGGGGTGATCTCCCTCGTTTCCAGGAACCGCTTCAGCTGATGCTGCGCTGGGCGGGCAGATATACGAGGTGGTAGATAAACAAATGAAACAGAACGATAACGATAACGAAGATGGGCGCACAGCAAGACTGCGAGACAACAGGGGTCGAAGTCATCGCTTGCATATGAGACTGGGATGTTCCCACAACTTACCATGATGATGGATGCTACGAAGAACACATAAGTGAAAAAATCACCAGGTGCACTGAACCGGGGAGATTCAGTCTCCAGGCGGCTGCCATAAGTAAACACTACCGGCAGTTAGCACGCCCGTTCATCAGAACAGCGCAAAAACCATACTAAAGTAGAGATCAAAGATCAGGGAAAGGCCTGGTCCAGTGATTATGAACGGCGAGAACAGCCTCCATATCTCTGGTAGTGTCTTGAAGACAAGGCGGCGAAGGAAAAGTACATAGTAACCGCTGAGGAGGCCACCATGTACTAGTATAGACTGTAGAAAGGTAAGTGCAGTGAGTGTTCTGAAGGAGAGTCAGTTATGGATCTTGACATGAGACACAAGTGATGTGGGAATAGCTCATACCTAGTAACAGGAGGAGCAGCCCAAAACTGGTCCATTGTGATTGCAAAGAGCTGCTATGAAAAGCAGTCACGGTGGTAATACTGTAATCCGAGTACAGATACTATTCGACACACATCATTCAGTGTCACAATAGGGGGCGTGGCATTCAAAGTTGTTTTAACAACTAAGTTGGGAATAATGGGAAAGAAAGAAAAGGACAGAAAGTGAGTTCTTATAGTGTGTGTATTTCCTAGCTCCAGTGCGGCATCTGTTTATCCGTTCCGGCATGTGTGCGACCCACAGGGTTATACCAATTGCGGAAGTTCCTATCATCATTTCTGTACGTAATGATGTCCTGCTGTTTCAGGGCCTGGTTAGTAGAGAACTACCCCGTAGTTAACGATAATGACATGATCAGTGACTGAATATAGCAGAAACGAGTGTGGACAGATTATCATATCCATGAATGGGTCCTCGGTACTCCATAATACTCCTGAAATAACGAGTTACTAGTGCTACATGCGAGCTAATTCAACATGCAATGTGTCGCTATATGCCACAATACACCCCTTTCATCGAACAAGTATCGATCTACTAAGACGTCCCTTTTCGACGGCCGTGATTGCTCTAGGATTCAAGTACCATAGTCAGAGTAGTGGTGTCAAGCCGAGTAAGTTCTTAATATATCAGGAGGCTCTCCTCTCTATTCCATTATTGGCCTTTGGCCGCTTCTTCATCATGACTCCATGAGCCCTACAGAGGGCTAGTGAAAGCGGTGCCTCGGACGGCAAGTCGTCCGTCTTTACCCTCAATCCAAACATCCCAGGTTGTGTAGCCCTTTCCCAATTTGGGTTTGCCGCATACTGCTAACTCCTCATCAACATATAGAGGAGCTATGTTCCTATACTCAATGTGTGTGACAGTCAATTGTAACTTACTCAAATGGCCCTGCAGAGCAGTAAGAAGCAACGTCAAAGTCAACGGTCCATGTACAAGAAGGTTGCGGTAGCCTTCAACGTCTTGTGTGTAGGCCTTGTCGAGATGTATAGAATGAGCGTTGAAAGTAAGAGCCGAGAAGCGGAACAGCAGGGTTTTGTTAGGTATGAGTCTGTGGAGGAAGTATGAACCCGAGGGTGCTACGCGCCACCGAGCACCGTTAGCAAAGATATAGTGACTGGTAATCTTCGAGGTAGCTCGCACATTTTATAGCCCTATTTTCCATGTCAAAACCAGCCTTGTCATGACTTAGTTGCTCGGGAGTTTTCTTGCGCATAAACAATAAATTCCTGGTCTCAATGACACAAGCATCGCCAACGTCTTCCTCGGTCTCCTTCCATATCCGCTCTTTAATATCGCGATGGTCTTCGCCCTCTTGAACTGTGCCGATCCGCCTTTCAATCTTGACCATAACCTTTTCTTCGCCTGACCGCCCCTTCATTACCACGTCACGAATAGTTTCGATACAAACGGCTCGGCTGCCATTTAGGACCAGGCCTTTCGGAGTGGAGAACCTGACACTCCCACCAGCCCACAAGCGCCTATCAAAGGGACTCCCTGGGGCATGTAAGGTGTCCGTACCGTCTGGAAGGATCTGCGGCAATGTGACTTGGGGAGGGAAGTAGACTAGGTGGTGGCCTGCTGGCACGGGAGATCTGCTGTGTGCAGAAGGGAGCTCATTTGGCGCTGGGGTTAGCGTGGGAAGGAGTTCGGCCAGAGTTAAGCTCAGGAGGTATGACGGCTGGGGATGTAGATAGTCAAAAGTCAAGGGGAGCTGTCGTGATGTCAAATCTCGATGTAGCCTTTCGGAAAGAGACGAACATGCACGACATGAAGCCGGTAGTGTCCGCCAATTCTGCTGCTGTTGCTGCTGCTGCCATGAACGCAGTAATAGTCGCATCCGTCTGGAATTCAAATTGAACGTGCGCATTTGGTCCAATTGCTAAGATAACCAGGCCCTGGTGGACAAAATGAACCATCAAAAACAAACAACTCGGAGATGATTACACGGGCTTAAACGAGTTCAAATTTCGACTAGTTATGTCAGCCGCAGCTGTGGAAAGGAACAACTCACAAGCTCTTGGCAGGAGTACAAAATCGTGAGGCAAGCAACTCAAACCCAGTGGATCTCCGAAGTCCTCATAGCGCTGCCATGGAGCCTCTCAAGGTCGCATTCCTCGGCCCTGTCGCGTCATTCTCCCACCAGGTCAGAATTTCATCAGGTTGGACTTCGCAATAGTCCCATTACTAACCAACCTATTAGGCCGCAGTTGAAAGCTTTGGGTCTTCAGCGGAACTTTTACCCCACGTATCGTTTCCGGACGCTTTCGCAGCATTGCAAGGAGGCAACGTCGATTATGCTATCATCCCTTGCGAGAACTCAACCAATGGCTCGGTTGTTCAGACTCTAGATCTCTTGGCGGACCCGAGCGGCCTTTACAGTAATGTGAAGGTGTGCGGGGAACATTATCTGACAGTTCACCACTGTCTTCTCACTCGAAAGGGTCTCTTCCCACCTGGCCAGCGAGACTACAGCTCCATCACCAAATTATATACCCACCCGCAGGCATGGGGTCAGTGTGATACTTTTCTTGAAAAAACTTTCAAAGGCGTCGAAAGACAAGATGTCTCGTCAACCTCCAAGGGCGCTGAGATCGTGTCCAAGGAGACGACAGAGCGATGTGGAGCAATAGCTAGTCGCTTTGCTGCCGAGCATCACGGTCTAGATGTATCAGAGGAAAATATCGAAGACAAGGCCAATAACACCACCCGGTTCCTGGTGCTCAGAAATGTGACTTCGGAGCGTACGGGTCGGCTGGTCTTCCAATATGCCAACGGTTCCCCAGCACAGACACAAATTTCTACTACACCAACAGCGCAAAAGACTCTGATCTCATTTATGATTCGCCAGGATTGCCCGGGTGCCTTGGCAGATGCTCTCTTGATTTTCAAGGATCGTGGGATGAATCTGACCAGCATTAATTCGCGCCCGAGTCAGATAAGGCCGTGGAAGTATGTATTCCTGGTCGAAGGCCAATACATTCCAACAAGTGAAAATGCGGATGCGGTATCCAAAATCATGGATGGGCTACAACATGTCACTGAGGGTTGCAGGCATTTGGGAACATGGGCGGATCAGCTCGTATATGTCTAAGTGTCGGTACTGATGAGGAAGTGCAAGAGGTTCATCACAAGTGCTTGTAGCCTGCAAATTTCATATAGACAGATCAAATCGATACCCAAATAAGGAAAATAAGGAAATAGGTTCTATGAAGCAATTCAATTGCCGTGTAGGCCTCGTGTGTCATGCGCTACCAGATTTACAGGCATCTACAGGACCTGTAGATAACATGAAGAGGAAGCCAGTGTTGGCTTGCTTCCCTTATAAGAAGCGCACTCAGAAGCAACAAAAGAAAAACACAACGAAGAGATCCAGTGCTGACAGGCACTGGAACAAACAGTCTAAACGCGCTAGCCCAAGTGTTATACGATCGACAGCCCTTGGTGAGTTATAGGTTCGACATAACAGATCTATCATCTTTTCGAACTGAAGTATAAAACCTAGTGCCACCCTAGACTGTCTACATAACCTCAGTGAACATGTTACGGAGCTTGGATGGCCCTGCTGCTATGATGTCAGCAAGTAGCAACGATTGCACATATAATGAAGCACATACTTCTAGGCAGCTTCATAGGATATTGACTGGGCAACGGCACGGTGTGTACCATTGCGGCCATGTTGCCGGGAGAGCCGCCATCACGAATCACGGGGCGAGCCGTCAGAAGGTCCGAACCGGAAACTTCTGGCCGTTCATCCTCGCTCTCTGCGAGGCCGCGGAACCGTCAATCTGTAGAGTGATTAGCACACGAAATAGTATGGTTATGAAGATAAACGTACCGTCGTAGAATTCATCCTCGTCATCGTAGTCAGCAAGCTGTTCGAAGTTGACCTTGTACCGAAGGATGGCTCCGATACCACCGAAACCCTTGACAAACTGGTTTCCTTCACTGGACTTGTCGGAAACGAACTCCAGGGTTGCTCCAAAGTCCTTGTAGCTTTCAGCAAGCCACTCAAGGAACGACTGCTGCTCGTTAACTTCCATCTCAGCGCCTGTCTCCTTGTCCATGAAGAGTTCCCGATTCTCTTCCTGTGACTTGGTAGTGTGGATGACGACGTCCGAACCGCTGGAGCTCTTGAGAACGTAGCGAGTGACATCAAGGTTCTCATAGACGATCAGTGTCTCGGCCGCACCAAGCTCCAAAGCCTTCAATGTATCGTCAATGCCATAACAGACCTTTCCAGTATCCTGACTGATTTCTTCGAAGTACTTTCCGATAAGCTTCTTCTCCTGAACGAATTTGACGTTGCTCAAGGTCTCAGATGCCAGTTCGATAGCCTGGTTAAAACCATTCTCGCCACCATAAGACACGTCAACAACCTTGATAACCTTAGCCTGCAATCTCTGGTCGAACATATCGGACTGGTTCAGGTCGTTCTTGAAATCGGCAGAACCGGCCAAGATCAATCCTGCAACATTGACCTTGTCGTTGGTGATGTAGTTCTGAACAGCCAACTCAGCAATCTTGCGTACGTAGTTGTGGCGCTTCTCCTCACGAAGACGAGCGAAACGCAACGCTGATTGACCACCACGGCCGTGCTTTTTGGGCAGATCAACGCTCAACTTCTGCAGAATTTCTCTGGTGTTGCCGCTCAGGGTACCGAACAGAGCACCGTTTCCATCCATGACGATGAAACCAAACTTCTGATCAGATTCAAGAAGTTCACTGAGAGCCTCAGTGTGGAACTTGTTGTCACAGAGATACAACGAGGTGTTGATTGGCTTGAAAGGCTCGAAATCGATGTTGATCTTGCGCTCCTTTCCTTCAGAGGTGATAATTTCACCGCAGTAAACCACTAGACCGTTCGGAGGCACCTTATTGTAGAGCTTGAGACGTTGCTGTGTCGAAGTGATAGCGGAAAGGACGGAAAGACGGTTGACACGAGACTTGATATTAGACGCAGTGCCCTGTATTATGCGATTAGCAGACTGGCTGTCACTCTCTCAGTCAAACCACTTACAAACTCTTCCGCCAACATCTTTGCTGCTCTAGAAATCTGGTCCTTGGGGGCTGCAAAGAAGATCCGATAATTAGAAGGTATTCTAGCGACGAGTCGACTGGACGGAAGACGTACGAATGATAAGAGAGATCATGGAGGTTCCGTTTCCTCTAGCGGCCTCAAGCCGCTTGATGAGTTTCTTCACCTTCCATATCTCGATGTTCTTCTCCGCTTCGTTCGGCTGAGCCGCGCTCATGTTGGGCGAGGCAACAATATGATACGACCAGAAGACGTTAAGTGTGTGGCTTGCTGGTGCTAGAATACTGACTGTTAGCGGCAAGACGTCTTTTTTTGAAAGTGCAAAGAGAAAGCGAACTGGAATAACAAGGGATCTATGAGAGTAGGCAACCTCAAAGACAAAGGTGAACGGGAAAGAGACGATCAAGTCACATACCTCACGGCTGGTCGATTTGCCGTCCAAGTCCAGCGGGGTGTTTAAAGCAATTTTCATCAGGCACCGTGGGGGGGCGGCCGACGACACAAGGAACCAACGAATGGGCCGGCGGTCGCCTGTTTACGATGACATAAGCTGGAACTCGCACAAGGGGGATCAATTAATACCACAACGCTTGTTTAGAAACATTGTGATCCATGTTGGTAGGGAGTATATAAAGGCGAGAGAGAATCGCATCTGAGGCCTCTGCATTTGCATCCTTGTTAGGCTTATCGATCTCCCTCAACATTGCGACCTCAAGGCTTCCAAAGATCAATGAGATGGACCGAAGTGCGGTTCCTGGAAATACCATACTTCCGTAATCCAGTATACGATCCAGCGCGCTTGCGAGTCAACTTTAAATGTCGCAACTGCACCGCTTGGGGCCTTTATTATAAAGAGCATTTCTTATCAAGTCCTTGAGTGCTTAGAACTTTATCTTGGGGCGTGCTACCTACAAAGCGTCTTTGATAGTCGAGACATATTGAAGGATTGCCTGATGTCATGGCTCAATTCATACTAATCAATACGAACGGTACTACGGAGTACTTCCCACGTAACCTTCTTTGCTGGCATTCGGCCTACCTTACCTTTCGACTAACTAGATCACTTACTATCATACTTCATATATGGCACAACCTAGCATGAGTCTGGGTCTTTGGAGTTGATCATCTCTCTAAACGTCAGTGGTCATTACTCTGCGATTAGTTCAACATGTAACCATCCGCTTCAACGGTCTTACAATCGTAAGTTTTCGGGGACTTCGAAGCAAGAGTCTTAACACTATCCCGAGAACATGCAAGAAAGAAACCGTCCATGTTATCGCAGACTGCACCACCCCCCGGTCTGAAGTACATAAATCAATGTCGTGAACCAAAATGCTATTGATGGCTTATCAACAACACGAAGAACTATCTCCAAAAGCTGGTTGGAACTCCATGTACCTGTGCAGTACTAGTTCCAAGAAGAACCCCACATTCGCTCCCGAAATTCGCAGAAGCTCCCGGGGGTCCTTTTCTATCATGGAATAATTTCTCATTGGACTTACCAATCAAGATTTCTACCCTTGCCTTTCTCGGAGATAACCTGTTTGTATCCGTTAGGTAGACTACGGAGTGCTAAACTACTACACGCTTATCTTTGTCCTGGACTTCGTGCAAGCCGATCCTGTGGCTGCGCCTATAAGAAATCGCTGATAGTGACGACTCTTCCACTCACACTCTGGGTTTAATATCCGCCACCAAAAGTGACGCCCTAATATTACTTCGCCGATAGCTGATTTGTCTCCTCAACAGCCTTGATTGTACTTACTGCCTTCAATAAATAGACTCGGTCTTTCCAAGGTTTCCTTTCCTCGATCGCTCTTTCCTTGAGATCTTTTTGATTTTATTTATTTATTTATTTATTTATTTATTTATTCATTTCTTTCTTTTCTTGTTTGTTTCCCCTTTGCGAAAGTCGACCAAGCAGCAAGTAGCTTGGTTCTAGACCGGAAGCTTCTATCCCCTGGCAAGGGACTGTTGAAGGAATCATACACAATGCCTGAATCCACAAATCCTGCGGCTGCTGGTGCCCAGGCTTCTAGCTCACATAGGTCGATTGCGCCTGGTAGGCCGAGCGCTGAATCTGCAATTGAGTCTGATGTGTATCCTTATGGGCTTGCAACCAGCAGTGGCAGCTATTCAAGAGTAGAAGATAGCTATTCGAGGCCAAGGTAAGTCGCCTACTCATCATGAAATCACATAAAATGCCAGCCTCGGTTTAACTATGTCTTGTGCTACACAGATCAGCGTCCTTCTCCGCGCGGTTCAGACAGGCAGGAGGAGTCAATAGCATTGACAACTTTGCTCGATCGTGGCAGCGAGCTGCATATTTTCCAGAAGTCTTACCTCGACGATCGTCATTTGTGATAGACTCCGACGAAGAATGGGCTGGGAATACAAACGACATCTTCAGGCCACATGATTACCCGGGGCATGAGGCCGACGTTACACGTCCCTTATTGGGTGCTGATGGAGAAAATGAAGACAATGCCATGGCTGGCCAGCTGGATCTGAGAAAAAGGACATCGAATGCAGACATTTTTGAACCATCGCTGGGCGGTTCGTACGGAACGATTTCTTCCCGCGTTAGTGCGACGACACGGAAGCATGCGATCCAATTGCACAGAGAGCAACAAAGTCATGGTGATACATCTGTGGGCTACGAAAGAGAACCGGTCCTTGTAAAGCAGGTGCATCATGAAGACGGTACAAGAGAGTGTATCGTTGTCGGCCAATCTACGGTTCCACAGACAATCTTCAATTCCGTCAACGTTTTAATCGGTGTTGGTTTGTTGAGCTTGCCACTAGCTCTGAAGCATGCTGGCTGGCTTCTTGGCCTGCTATTTCTGCTATTCGCTGCAGTGGCCACAAATTACACGGCAAAGATCCTTGCAAAGTGTCTTGATGCTGATCGGAGTATCGTCACTTACGCAGATCTAGCATACATTAGCTTCGGTCACCACGCACGCTTAGCGACAAGTCTCTTGTTCTGCTTGGAACTAGTTGGGGCTTGTGTTGCACTGGTTGTGCTTTTTGCGGACAGTTTGCAAGCTCTCATCCCGGGCTTGAGCCTTCTTCAGTGGAAAATAGTATGCGGACTTTTGCTTGTTCCCCTCAACTTTTTACCATTGCGACTTCTTAGCGTGACAAGTATACTCGGCATACTTTCTTGTACCTCTAGTATGTGTACCTTCTTTCCAGAACCCAGTGTATTACCGAGAAACTAACATTGTCGAAGTTGTCATTATCACTTGCATTGATGGGCTTACGAAACCAACCGCCCCGGGATCACTCCTTCAACCAGCCAGGACGTATTTATTGCCTGACAATTGGGCCACTCTTCCTCTTAGCTTTGGGCTAATAATGTGTAAGACCAATCACTCGCTAGGGGTTGCTTAGGAAAACGCGCTGATGTTCAGATAAGCACCATGGGGTGGCCACGGCGTATTTCCAAATATATACCGCGATATGCGGCATCCACAGAAGTACGGCAAGAGTCTGTGGGTCACTTATATTTTTACGGTAAGCGGGTTTCGGCAGCATCTTGAAGAGTATATGCAGAAGAAATGCGTGCATATTGCTCAACAAACAGGGGATAATGTTCTCGGGTGCTAATCGAAATATTCGTCCTAGTATTCTCTTGACTGCACGATGGCCATAGTGGGCTGGATCATGTTTGGAGACGACGTTCGAGATGAAGTCACTGCCAACATCCTACGTACAGAAGAATATTCGCAGGTATTGTCTATTTGCATGATCATGTTCATCGCCATCATTCCAATCACAAAAGTACCATTGAAGTGAGTCATATTTCGCATGTTGTCCTCTTGTCTTGTTTGTTTTCGAGAAAAATGTGGATTGTTGATTGACAAATGTAGCTGCCGGCCGCTCGTGGCCACAGTCGAAGTCCTCTGTGGACTTGGGTCACACCCTGAACTTCAGACAGATCCCAAGAGCACGAAAGCCATGGTTCAAACGCTTTCAAAAGCCTTAATACGCATCCTTGTCGTGGTCAGCATTGTCATCATGGCAGTGCTATTCCCTTCGTTTGATCGAATTATGGCGCTGATGGGATCAGCTTTATGTTTCACGATCTGCATCATATTGCCGGTTGCCTTCCACCTGAAAATATTTGGCAACGAGATAAGTCCAAGAGAACGGGTACTGGACTGGTGCCTTTTAATAACTTCCTCGATATTGGCGTTGATTGGGACTGCATGGTCCATTCTGCCGCAGGATGCCATCTCTGCACTATGAGAGTGCGAATAGCGACGCTTTCTTGTTGTCCCATACGACATTATTATCACTTGACGATAATTGAAAAATTGTTCCTTGTTTTTCCAGGGTTCAAGATTTCCTTTTTGAAAGGTTTGGCGTTGTAGTCGCCAACCTGATCCCAAAGTTGGAATATCAGCTTGGAAGTCTGCTTGGTCTTAGCCAACGCAAAGCCCATACTGGACATTATGTCTTGCAGCCTGCTTTCGGTGAGGTAGCGCGAATTGGTAACGCAGGAGACTGGCAGGACTAGAAATAGGCTTGGGGTAACATCAAGAGAAGACCCGGAGGGGGGTGATGTGGTCAAGAAGGATATACAGCGCTTCAACATTTCACCCCGACCGGCGGCGTCGGGAACATAATTGAGGACCAAGGAGAGACTGATGATATGGAACCTGTCGAACTCGTTTTGGGGAAGTGGCCTTTCCATGAAGTCCTGTTTCAAGATTCCCGGTTCTTGAGAATTCAGATCTATCCTAGTGACATCCAGTGACTTGTTCATTGAACAAGCGTTCTTCGTGCTTAGAGCTCCAATCTCGAGTACTCGGAGCTTGTAGGGCGTATTTGCCATTGGCAGTAACCGAGGAGCTATCCAATCAACCAAGACCTTGCTAGAGTCGCCTCCACGATCTAGAGACTGGCCAAGTTTGCTTGCGAGCTGGTAGCTTTCCAAGCCACCATTTTCCCGGATCTGCGCTTCGATCTTTGCGACCAAAACATCATCACCGGCCCGTACAGCTTGGGCATGCGCCTTGAGTAGTCGATGGTGTGATCGAATGAGATTTCGAGTAGCTTTCGCCGACAAGGCCGCATGCTTTGCCCGGACAGTTGGTGGGCGGGTGCGGGACAGAAGAGCAGGTCTTTTTCTCCGTTGTTTGTTAGAAGGCCCCATGTCTCGGCCTAGTAATACTGCTGCCCTGGCAGTCCCCTGACGTTTGAGTCGTAGTGTCTGCGCAGGCAACAGCCATGAATTGGGCTCGTTCAACTATTGTCGAGATCATTATTGATGGCTTCGAACATGTGAGAAACCGCTTATTCTTCACGTGACCGTAACGGATACACTATGCTGAAAGAAGACAAACTCGACAGACTAGCCCGTTCGAGTTGTGGTCGCCAAGAGATCCAAACCATCCGACACGGAGGGCTGGTCAGGTGACCCACAGAGTCAACCGTAGGGTTTTCATTAAGCGAATACCTTCCAAATAATTCGACACTCGACACTGCGACAATCAACACGACAGCGCCGGACGATAGCCATGGCTCCCAAGGTGGATAACAAGCAAGGTAGGCATCATTTATGCGATTCATCCGTCTTCTTGAAATTTGCAGATTTGTTCTTGTCGGAATTCCGGTTTTGTGAGCCTCGAATGGCATCTACATGTGGCGGTACTCCGGGGGATAAGGCCCTCTCAGCACGATCGAAAAAAAAGGCATTTCCGATGAACGATTCGAGCCCTGTGTTTCCCCCGCTATTGTCAACCTGCATGGATTTTGTGATTTCGAACGAGCGATCGGCTATATTTTATTTTGAAGTGACGGACGGGCTGACATTCTGGATCTATAGGCAAGACCAAGCCCAGCGACAAGGCTGGTGCTGCCGCCAAGGCAGTCATTAAGGGTGCTGGTGTACGTTCTCACAAGGCTTCAAATCCACCCATGCTCTGTTTGGTGCTAAATATCATTTGATTCTCCAGGCGCACAAGTCTCGTAAGGTCCGCACCTCTACGACCTTCCACCGCCCCAAGACCCTTCAGCTTTCCCGGTCGCCCAAGTACCCCCGCAAGTCGATCCCCCATGTCCCTCGCCTCGATGCGCACAAGGTCGTCCTCTACCCTCTCAACACCGAGAGCGCCATGAAGAAGATCGAGGAGAACAACACCCTGGTCTTCATTGTCGATGTCAAGTCCAACAAGCGCCAGATCAAGCTCGCCCTCAAGAAGCTGTACGACGTTGACACCGTCAAGGTCAACACCCTCGTCAGGTACGACGACCTATCTCATAATCATTTGACCTACCGAGTTCGGGATATCTAACTTGTCTTTAGACCCGATGGACTGAAGAAGGCCTACGCCCGTCTAACCCCTGACGTTGATGCTCTGGACATCGCTGCCACCAAGCTTGCCATCGTCTAGATATATTTCATTTAGGGTTTGGGTGAATTTTTATTTTGCGCGGTGGTTCATAAATATCAGTCATAAAGTTAGCTGCCAATGCTTGAATGAGGGCTGAATGATCGTTTCCAAAAAAGAAGAGGGAATTACTCGAATGCATGAATACCACGAATAAATCTGGTTCTAGGCTCCGTAGATCTTAAAAGCCATTGCCGCGGACTCAAGGCTATTTGCCTATCCTAGGCCTAGTGTTCAAGTAGAGGGTACAAATCTATGCATGTCACAGCCTTACATGCGCAGGCCGCCAGAGCTGAAAAGTGAACTTCCGGCACGGTCACAATGCTATTTCATGTGGCAAAGCCAGCACGTCCTTTCTATTGGTATGATTGATATAATACATGAGGTACCCGTTTACATGCAAGGTGACGGCAGACGTGCTCTATGCAAGAGCCCGCTGCTTTTCGTTGAAAAAGTAGAAGACAAAGATTATACATCTTATCCACGAAGAGCTTCGAGATGCTTCAGGATCGCAAGGTTCGAATCCATCCACCGCTCAACGCAGTTCTGCGCGCATGTTTCCTCATTTTGTTCCAGGCGACCTGACGAGATCTTTCCCGCGATACATTTCTTCCAGCAAATATCGGACAACGAATGGACGGCTAGATCATGACCATTAGCAAATTGTTGCCCTGGAAAGTCGCAAGACAGGGACGAATCGGCTTAGATAATAGCGACTCGGACACAAATGACTCACTTTGCTGCATCGTGGCCTTTTGTTGCTCGTTTGCCAACATCTGGCTCAGTTCGTTCTTGTCGGCATCATTCAGCTTGCTAATATCGACCTGAGTCTGTGCGTCCATGGTGAAGATGGATTTCTGTGAAAAAGGCCGAAAAGGTAGAATTTAATGATGAATGTTGTTTTACGAACGGATCGCGAGTATGCTAAGTACAGGTCTTGAGTAGGAGATGGGATGGTTTGCTGGTTGGTCTCTGACGATGCTCAACCATCGGAATCAAACGCCTAGAAGAATTAAAGGCGGTGTGCCATGGCAGATGCGGCCGCAAGCTCGTAGCGCCCGCCGCTCGAACGCATCTATCTATTGTGGAGCAAATCATTCTTTGGGCTGCGGAAAATCAACAGGGTTTCGGTGTTTGGTTTCGCATTACTCACTTCTGTCCCTCTTTCGAGAAATCACGCAAAACCGCCTTTATTTTTGTCTCGTTGGCTACATATCCAGAGATGCCCCCAGTACGGACCTCGCGCAATCGCAAACCGCCCCCGGCAGGCTTCGATGATATAGAGGATACACTGCTGGAGTTCAGCAATAAGATGAAAGATGCGGAGAATGCATCGCATGACGGGAAGAAAAAGCACGAGATGCTGTGGCCCATATTTCAAATCAGCCACCAGAGTAAGTGGTCTTCCGTCCGATTCATATTCCAGTTGTCGACGGCTCAAAGTTACTCATAGTATGACACATAGGGTCGAGATACGTATATGACTTGTATTACGAAAAAGAAGCCATATCAAAACAGCTGTACGAATGGCTTTTGAAGAACAACTATGCGGACGCCAACTTGATCGCGAAGTGGAAGAAGCAAGGCTACGAAAAGGTTACTATCTACCCGTTTCCTACTTCTGCTCTTCCTTATATCTCCTCCTTCTGTCATTCTTCAAGGGATACTACCACGAGTTTGCCCTACCAAGACCTGGAATAAGATGAACTAACTAACACGTGCCATGTCTTTAATACAGTTATGCTGCCTCCGGTGCATCCAGACGAAGGAAACGAATTTCAATGCAACTTGCATCTGTCGGGTACCTAAAGCGCAGCTCAAAGAAGATCAAACAATTCAATGTGTTAGCTGTGGGTGTCGCGGTTGTGCTAGCAGCGACTAGCCTCATCTCGAAAACAAAATTTCTTTTTCTGTATTTTAGCGTATCCGGGTTTCGTTAAATCAGTTGAGAGGCACAGGTCATGCAGGTTAGACCTTTCTTTGGTACGGCGTTAGGTTAGGAATTGAGACCTCAGACATCTTTTCCTTCCATGTACTGTTTCCTCGTACGCTGCTTATCGAACATCTTTTCCCTTTCTGCTTGCTTCGCGCATCATTCGGCACCAACTCACTAGGCTCTATTCATTATTCAGAACATACCTGAACTCCTTATTACCTTTTCTGAAACTAGAAAGCAATACGCTTCTACGCTCTTTTACACTTCAAAAAATACAGAAACAATGCAAACTGTGCGCTCTTGTAGTGGAAGCTAACTTGAATATGTGCTTGGTAAATCACCTCAAACATTCCGGGACATAAGCAAAGAAAAACTAAAACGACACGCGAGCGAAAAAGCAGAAATTCGAGTTCGTTTAGACATCACATACTCATGTACATCTTACCAAATGTCGTCATAAAGGTCGTAACAAGGTCATTCCAGGTCCGGTATATGTCATAACCGACTACCAACCACCCTTTAAACTCCAGCAACCTCATCTGCTCAAAAATGAAACAAACACACAGATTAAATGCGCCCCTCCCCCTATCCCTCAGAAAAACCCATTGTCTACCAGCTGGATCGGACAATTTGCCAATTTAGTACGCCATCAAGAAAGAAAATGCAAATTTCCCGAGGCGCTCGCTGCGCATTATTGTTTTGTGGCTTCAATTCTACCTTCATCGTCCAAGCCTCCAACCCCCTGGCTTTAGAACAGAGGTGTGTTGCTCCGATGACTGCACGAAGGCCTCGGTGGGTATGACTTCGATCTTGACGATTCTTCCTTGCTCATACCCCCGATCTTCTGAAATCCCTGCAGGATATCCACGCCATCGATTTCTGTTGGGCTTTCATCAAAAAGATGAAACGAGAAGAAATCCTCATGCGAAGAGTCCAGATAACGTGCTGAGTCACTCACTTTGGAAGGCGACTCTGGGAAAAGAAGGCCTTTAGCTTTGGTCGATGATTGCAACGGCTGCACCCCTAGCCTGTTGTTGGCATTCAATGAAGTGATATCTGCCAGTATATTGCCATTTGATCCGCCAGCGTCTGATCGAGTACGCTTAATAGACCGCTTCTCCGGCGAGCCGTATGCTGGGGTTGATATGTTATCCGAAACAGGATCCGCAAAGACATCGAAGCCAGTATGAAGATTTTCGCTCGGCGTGAACGTTTCGTCTTGGATATTGAAAGCTGGACTCCACGGAAGATCCTCATCGTTGAGTCCCAAATGTTTTATCGGGGAATTGACCATGTGTTGAATCTTTTTACGGTGGTTCCGTAGATTCGTGTTTGGTGATACTGAAGGTGGTGGCTTAGCGGGTTTCTTGAATTTGATGACCGGCGTGATAGGAGGGGGTAGCATGCTGATATATTCCCCACGGAGGGGTGATGAACCAACAACCAATCCTGAGTCCTTCAAGATGCCACAGTGACTTGGGCTAATGTCGTGTGAGGAACTTCGAATTCGAGCTATCTCTTCCTCTGCCCGACCACGCTTGATTCGTGGAGGGTCTATGTCTAGATCCGAAGTCAGAATGTGCCCAGCTTTGTTTGGTCGCAGAGCTGAGGACTCTAGCGACGAGAAGTATCCGCTGTCATTCACTGCAGTTTGCTTTCTCTTATTGGTGATGGATACTAATCCCGAAGTGATGGTTTGAGAAGGGGTTGGAGGGGTTCCTTGTCGAGTGTAACGAGGAGGTACAACAGGTGGTGACGAATGTATGGGTTGTAGTGGTGACGATCGATGTCCAAGAGTCTGTTGCACAGTACGGTTGGTATGTTCGTCACTCGTGTCTTCTTGAAGAGCAGGGTCAGAAGCAGGGAGGGTGGCATCAGAAGACAGATCCACAGGCTTCGAATGTTTTCCTGTCGCTTGATATGGGGGCGGCGGGACTGCCCAAGTAGTAGTACTTGAGTTATGCGGACGAGCTGTGTCCTTCTGCGGCGCGGCCGGAAGAGGAAGGCTGGACATGGTTGCGCGGCGCAGTGGCTTGTCTTTGAGGAATTGAGCTTCCATTCCAGGTTCAATTGCCCAGTAATTGCCTTTCCCTGGATCATCCTTAGGTCTTTCTTGCTTGATAAATGCTTTATTCAGGCTAAGATTGTGCCGAATGCTGTTCTGCCAGCCTGGGTCACTATTTTTGTAATAAGAAAACGTATCTGAGATCCACTTGTATATTTGCGCTAAGGTCAATCGCCTGTTTGGCGCACGAAGTATAGACATGCCAATTAGCGTCGCATAGCTATAAGGCGGCTTCGTGCCATCGTCTTCTATCGGGGGCATTTCATGAGGTTCCGGCAAGCGCATAGAACTAGGTTCCTCCCGCTTCTGCTTTTTTGTTTGTCGTTCCTTTAGTGGCGCCGCGTCCATAAGTGTCCTCTTCATAGGTTTCGGTATGAATGAGGGTTCAGGGAAGTCTGCAAAATTATCGCTGTTGGGCTCATCTGATGACTGCGCATCCTTAGGTGAGTGTTTCCCTGAACTGGAAGTGGAGAATGTCGTGAATAACGCGGATTGGGGCATGGAAGAAGAAGCAGCGCTGTGGCGATATCCGAAAGAGGGGTGTTTGGAAGGAGAGTCTGTGGTGAATTCTGGAGCCGGGGGAGCCGTGATGGGAACGAATCCTAGACTTCCATGTCCAGAAAATAGGCTACTTGAGCTGCGAGCAACTTTTGCTGGCGAAGCGTTGTGTGTCGTAGAAGTGGTCGCATTTAGAGATTGATCTTTCGCCGACACATGCTCAACGGGCTGCAGAGGTAAAGGTGAGGGCTCTAAGCGGGGGCGTGGCTTGGAAATCGCTTTTCCACAAGAAGGCCGTGAGGTTACCGGCGCAGAACGTGTCGGGCTCATACTGCCACGATCTATGCCCTGTACCTTGGTGTCAAGGGACTTTCGACGCGGAGCAAACTTCCGCACACCGTGTATGGCAACAGGGCAAAGCTTCGGGTCACCTTGGGCTCTGGCAAGGTACCCGCAAAGTGAACGAGGGAGCACGCCTTGCTGGGATAATTGGATAAAATCTGGGTGGCAGAGTTCCAAATCGCAGAGCGAGAAACGATGATGGTCAGAACATCAAGCGCGTAAGAGCGCGATGCAAAGGCAGTAATCTAGAGACAAAGACACAGACGGCCTGAAGGAAAAGCCTTTGTCATCCAAGGCGTGAAACTTGACGTGGTTATCTGGACAATGATGTAGCCAAAAGCAGACTGCCTTTGGTAGGGTGTGGTACGTTGGAGTAGGCGCGAAGTAGATGATGTATGTTGGATGATGAGATCGAGAACAGAGCGATGGAGCAAGTGGGTTATCGAAGGAAAGAGTCCCAGAACATAGGCGGCAAGACGGCTCGACTAAGTTCAAATCCCTTTGTCCGGTAAGGTCCATCCAGGTAAGGTGGGGAGATATGCGCAAGATATTTTGTGAATAATTCCTTAGTTGAGTGAAGAATGAGAGAACGAAGAAAGACAGGCTGCACCTGTTGATTGCCCACGCGCCTCGTCGGGCCTGTATGGTATGGTTATGGCGCGTGCGCGTCACGCGTCGGGCAGCCTCCGGACTATCAAGCTACCCTCGGGTGGCCATCAGGCATGAGAGGCAGATATTACACGTATCGTCACAAGTAAATTACCATTTACTCCGTGTTTGCAATTTCGTTCTCTTGTGCTTCGTACCGCATACATAAATGTAGATGGTAATACCAATCCCTGGCTCCCCCTCCTCCCTTACTAGCCTAGCACAGACTGAGTAGGCATGCGGGTCCCTTGATGCTGCCCAGTGAACAGTATCGACGCTACATCTGTTAGACCCATGGGGATTCATCCCTTGCTCAAACCCACCCAATCAGCCGGCGAATTTTGCAGATCATGGGTCCCTTGGTCAATTGATGAAAGCAGTTTGGAGTCTGGTGGCATGCACTTGATATATTATTATAAATTCCCAGCCTACCAAATACAGTCTAGGCTACCGAACACAGTTTCGCTCATTCGTTATGAAAATTGTAACTGACGAGGATACCGTAATCCACACTCCCACCCTTCTGGAAGCACTTGGGCTACGTATTACTTCGCTACCACGAACATTCTCCGACTTCACGATGATACTAGTAGCCCACTACAGCCCTAGCTTCCTTTGAAACCCTGTTCACAATCTAAGTAAAGCGCTACTGAACTCATTGAACAGCACACATAAGCCACATGAACAATTTATGCCATCCAGGGATGATTACCTCACCTCCCTCCCAGAAGAAGCAGCGAATACCGAGCTAGGGACTCGCAATAATGC